GGATGGGACAGTTATTTAGTGAGTCCTGAATCACTCTCTGATTACAAAATAGTGAGAGCAGGAGCCTGAAAACAAATTTTCATATTATTATGGACGATACACATGAGGAAATGTGATTCTCATCTTATGAGTCCTGTATATGTTCAGCCTGATGAAAGTTCATCAAAGTGGTGTCATAAATAGATTTACCAGAAGAAACATTTTAACTTATTTCTAGAGATAAATATTGATCAAGCAAAGAGATCAAAGAGTGCTGAGTAAGTAATCCAGCTATGTTAGACCTCTATGCCTCAGAGAATTATTGGAAATTGATATTTAAATAAAAATTTCTTCGAATAGAACATAGATTAAAAAAAAAAAAAAAGAAACTTAAAAAATCCCTCCTAACTCAATGGAAGGTATCAGTAATTTGGTGAGTCCAAATGTTTGTTTATCCTCATTCCAGAAGAATAGTTTTCCTCTTGCAGAAGTTAAGGACCTGCCAAATTGGCTTATCTAGCTTCAGGTGTTCAGAGTAAGACCAGTTCTTTCAGACTGTGTTTTCCAATACTTCCCATCTGGCGTTTACTACACCGTTCCTACCTCCCACTACTGACATATCACTCCAACATGGTAGGTAGGGCTTTAATCAACATGCCAAATATGCCAGGCCCCTTGGAGAGTCAGGATGTGAGCTGGTGTCCCTCTAGGGCAAGCTGGCAGCACTCAGGCACTGCAGTGTGCTCCTCACATGGACAGGGACATATCTGCTACAAGAGGTTTTCCTCCACATGATCTCAGCTTACACGCTTGGGGTTTTCAATGGTCTGACGGGTTGGATTAAGGTAATTTCTCTCAGGTAAGCAATGCAGGTAAATGCAGCTTCTGGGGCCTGGTGCTGGCACTGAACAACAGAGTAGTAGTGAAGAAGTTACAAGAAATGGAGCATTTATGTCAGGACCACTTTCCAGGAATGAACAGAAATGAGACCCTGACCAAGACACAGACTTATCAGGGAGGATGTGAAACACTGTGGACTTCAGCTGCTTCTATGTAAAAGACAGAGGAACACCTAAAACATAAGACACTGTAAGCTGATTTGAGACTAATATTTCTGCTTTGAATACTTGTGTTCTGGGTAAATTTTACTTGGCTTGTTGAAAACCAGCCAGTCATTTGGAGTTCCAACCATTCCCGATTGGCAGGAGAGTACTCGCCAGACTAAAGCCAGGTCTGTGGGGCTGGTCAGTTTGACTGGCAGGAGATGTCCTGCCTGACAAAGGCAGTGGGATGCCTTTGGGAGTGCCTAGGTGTGGTTGGATGTTCTCTGTACACAGGCAGGGCTTTAGGACTCCAAAAAACAGTTTATGCATTTAGAAATAATTCAACCATCAAAAGCTGCCATCATATAAGTGAACAAGATAATAATGTGAGAGGAGATATAAATCTACTCTCAATTAAAAGGGGGAAATTGTCATTCTGTAGGCAGCAAGCTATTCCATATCTGCCTCTTTTAACTCCTGGCGAATGTTCTTTGAAAGAATTATTGGCAGCCAGCATCAAGAGCGGGGATACTGTGCTCTGGGTGAAGCTCAGCTCTGAGTGCAGCTTCTACAGCTTGGGTATGAATAAAGAATGGTTTCAAAAGAGCTGCAAGACAGGCTTCTGTCAATCATTGACACCTTTGTCACCAATTATTCACAAAAGTAGAGAAAGGTTATTGTCATTGTGCCACTGCCAAATAATGTTTATAAATCACAGAAGAAGAGAACATGACAGGTTATCAAGGAACGAGTGTAAGGAATATTGGATAAACCTATACATAATTAAATCCAAGATAAAAAAAAAAAAAGTTGTTATAGGTGCACTTAATCAGGAAGGCTGAGGTAAATTACTCCTTGGAATATGTCCATGGCAACTGGGACAAAAGTTAATATAAAAAGAGAAAAGCAGTTTTCCAACCCACATCTTTGCAAGTACCTTCTGCAGGGGGAAAGATATATGCATATTTTTGTAGGGTTGAATCTTAACAACTTCTTTTCCTCATTGGTGATGTTATAATCCTATTTGTCTGAAATTAATGTTTCTAATTATTGATTCATGGAGCTACATCTCAAATTCATCATGGCTAAGTGTTTTACTGAATCTAGATGTAAATGAAAAGCTTGATAGAATAAACTGTAAATAACTTCCTTTAAAATCACCCTCATTAGGAAAGTTATGCTTGAGTGAATGATTCCATTTTCCACAAACATCCACTCATATTTACGAGTTGTGTGGAAAATTAAATCATTATTGCACAGCCACAAAAGGACCTCTAACTAACCTCTAACCAAAAGTTAGTGGCCTAACTTTTCCACATATCCAGCATGTTGTAATGTCTGCACTCATTAATTTAGTGTTTCATGCTTAGTTTCAGTTTCCAGAATACTTCACTGCACTGAAGATGCTTCTGCTTTCAGCTCTGAGGAGACTGAGGTCTTCTGCTGGGAAGTGCTTGTGCACTGGCTAAAGGTGGTGCTAAGGATGCATTTGTGGATGGCACTTGTCCCCTTGTCACAGGTTGTGAAAGCAGGGCTTTTAGGCACTCAGGAAAGGCCCCCTGGCCTGTACAATTGATCACACTGCATTGGATGGTCTGGTAAACTCATTCATGGCATTGGTTTACATGTGCTGCATCTCTTAAAAATCATGCTGTTTTCCATTCTTACTGTGTGTGGCTAATACAAAATATCCTGAGTGCCTGCTATCTTTTGAACATCAACACAATATATTCCATAAGAAGCACATAAAATAACTATGCAATGAAACAATTAATTGATTTTATAATGAAGCATGAAATCAAATAGACTTTGAGACAGAGTTGAGAGAAGCTGGTGTCTGATCTGATTAAGATCAATGTTATTTTCCGCTTGTTAGAGCCCAGGGGCCACTGGTGAAGTCATTTGGTCTTAGCTTAGCAGTCATAGAGCAGTTTGACAGGTTTGACTTAGTGGTACATGAGTGACAGCTCAGTCTTAGTAGGGTCATCAGTGCAACATGGATGTGGTTGCTTTGATGTGGCCAGATTTATATCATGGGGAGGAAAATGGGACCACAAATAATTCAATGGGTTCTGTACCTTTTGATCACATAAGAAGTTTTCCCTGAGCTGGAGTGGGGAATTCATTGTCCCTTTGAGGTTAAACTTTGCAGAAATGTTAGACATCAATAGAGTCATGAATTTCTTGGGTTTAAATCATTACTGTGAACAGCAGGTCCAAAGAAATTCAAGATGCTCAGCTGCTTTTGCTCTGTGGCGTGGCTTGGTTTTGGTGCTCTCCATGGTGCTTTCCATGCAATCACCAACCTGGGAAAGATGAATTTAAGAGGGCAAGACTTCTCTGTCAGGGGGACGTTTTGCATCCACCTAGTTCCCCATAGACTTATGTTTGCACAATTAGGATATAGTTGATAAATATCTTTAAAAGACTTCTTTGATTTGTAGCCCAATAGGGACATCTCAGCTCCAGCAAACTGCGATCATATAATTGAGTAGTGGGCTAGGTGAGGAAATGTTCTTTACTTTAAAGTACAAGCAGAAAACGTTAATGGAAGAATTTCTAGGAGAAATTCTATAATTGCACTCACCTGATGCATGCTACAGAAATCTCTCACATTGAAGGGGACTATTATGAGAGCTTAGCAGGATTTAGAATCTACCCCTGTACAAGGAAGTCTGGTATTTGCACACAGAGCTTTGCTGATAGAAAATCCTCATGTTTCAAGGCTTTTTCCTGGGAATCCAAGCTCTAAAAGACCAGGAATTTACCAATGTAGAAGTGTTTTCAACATCAACAAGATATTTTCATACTTCAAAGTTCATAAAACACACATGACTTGACTGACTGAAAGGCACTTTTTAACTTCTCTACTCACCCAGATTTTCCCATTTTCAGTGTCTTGGAGGGGTGGCCAAGGAGAAAAGCATTCTTTTTTCAGAAAAAAAATATTTTGGCTATTCTTTCCTTGCTAATTATTTTCTAATTAATCTCCTTATTTTCTCTAACTCCCACTAAGAAGTAGAAGCAGAGAAATACTTGTGATGTCATCACTGGATGAGAATGGGAGTCAGTATATTGTCTCTGGGTCAGAGGGAAAGGTAGTTTTCTGGTTTGTTAACTGCTAGAAATTAAGTCATGTCAGACAGCTCAGGAAGATGAATTACACTAATTTCTGTACAAGCCAACCAGGAACAAAATAGGTGGTTTGGGTTTTTTTAAATATTCTAGTCTACTACAGTAAACTTCCCATAAAATCTATGCTTCCCTTTAAAATCAAGAGCTCTTGCTAGTTCTGTGTGGTATATTGAAGATGTATTCAGTCCTTTGCTCAGTTCTTGTTTTTAGCAAAAATTTGACTGTTGATTATGTGAATACATCTCTACAATATCACACTGATTTTTTTTAAATTGCATTGCTAGCTAAGGTTAGTAATATATCTATATATATTTATAACTAGTAAGCAGGATAAAATGATTTAATTTTTTTTCCAGGATAGGAAATATGAAAATGTGCAACAGGTTAAGTAAAGGAAATATCTGTCAGTACATTTTAGAAGACTGCTTGAGGGAGTTCTTAAGTGGGCAAATGAAAGTGAAATAGTTTTCACACAATCAAATACGGTTGCAAAAATGAATAAATTTAAATAATTTCTAGCATGTTAATACCTTTGTATATACATTAAGCTTATAGTGAGTTACCAGCAGTATTTTAATGTGAGGCTGGATAGCATTTTGGCAGTGGGGGACAAGACTGTGACACTGACAGTGGGATATAAACTACTGCAGGGGCCCCTCTGCTAAGGGAGGATATCTGTTAGCTAGCTATTTCTGAAGGGTGGACCATAGGGTGAGTAAGGTGTCAGTTCTATTGTGAAATGTCCCTCTGGAATAGCGGCACTATTTTAAGACCAAAATGTGGCAAACACTTTACTATGGGAGAAGCCAGCACTCCATAACTCATTGTCTGCATTTTTCACAGGTTTATCAAATTTCAGCAGTTCTCCATAGCCCAGTGAAATCATCACAGATCCATTTTATTCAACTGAGTCTTGCTGCTCTGTGTTCTTTGAGCTATAGGTGAGTGCAAAGCAGTAGGTGAGTGTAACACCATTTTATGAATATAAAACCACTTCTTGCTAGACCAGACAAACAGCACTAGCTTTGTTGGCAGACTTTCCTTGTTCTTTATACTAAGCAAGAATCCTGAGGCTTTGAAGCACCATGTAAATATGTTAGCTAACATAGGCTAGCAGATTTTGAGAAATCTGGCTTTTACTACAAGTTTAGAATGCTGTTCCAGCTGCTGAGAAGTCAGATGTCTTGGTAATAAAGACTCTTGGGAAACTGATCCATCAGTTTTACAAGTTTACAGTGCTGCTGGAAAAGGGCCAGCACTGTACCAGCGGGTTCCTGAAATAGAATGAAATATGTCTCTATTACAAGTGTACAGTGCTGCTGGAAAAGGGCCAGCACTGTAACAACTGGACCCTGGAAAGGAATGAAATATTTCTCTATTACCTCATATAGCTTGCAACACCGTGGTGGCTGAGTAACTTGCAAGTGTTACTGCATTCATCCTTGCAGTATCTGAATAATCCAGGGAAATGCAAGTGCAAGCAGCTATAAAAATATTTTCACCTCTCTTTTGTGGGCAAGGTTTCCACCACTCCTAGCCCAGCAGGGGAAAATCCCGAAAAGCTTCCCTTTCCTTAAAGTTTAAAATTTTATGTATGGATACTTCTTTGGTTTAATCAAACTTACTTTCATTCTGCAAAAGGTACAAAATAAATCTATGTGGTAAACTTACAGATTCCATAAATTTATGGAAACTATTGGTTGCTTTTTGGGAATACTTTGCTTTCTATAAAATATGAAGGACATGCACTAGCTAGCATGCTCACCCTCAGAAATTCTGCTTTTATACTTCTCTCTAAAATCTACCAAATATCCTTTTCTCCAGAGCAGTGAAGGTTTAGTAGAGTGTTTTTTAACTTCAGTTAACCTTAAGCAAGAAATTTATCTCTCAGTATAGGCATCCAAAAACCATAGTTTCGTAAACTAAAGCTGAATCTCAGGCTATGTTTCCTGTGTACATATTTCTCATACCTGGGAGCCAAAAGTTTTTTGGAAGATATTTTTGGAACAGCGTTTGTAAAACTAGAATTAGGAGTTTGCTGACACCCTGGTTGTTAAGGGTGCTGAATAATTATGAATCATCACAATTTTTCTAAATCAAAAAGTAGTTCTACATATTCAGAGTTTTGACTGTAGTAAATCTTATAATGAGACAACTATTAAATTAGATCAGTGGCTGTGTAATTGTTGCACCACAAAGGAAAGAAAAAGATGCTTTCAACTCCTCTTCTTTGACTTGAATTCTGTTCGATTCTCCCTGAGATGCATCCTCCCTGCATGATGAGATGTATGATATGACTCAGAATGACCATGTTCAGAAGAATATGATATCAATTCAACCTTAAGTTTCCTGTGCAGAGGTGACCACTTCAATTAGGTGGTTGTAGAGAAGCTGTGGGATCAGATAAGAGGTTACAAAATTGTCTGGAGAAAGCACGAGGCTCTCTAGGTGACACAAAGTCAGTGGTGATCAGGAAGCCGGGAAACAGTAATGCCAGGAAGTGGATGTAGAAATCATTATACATGCCAAAACTGTTAAGACTTATAATTAGTATTAGCAATAAGTTATGCCACTATCATCAGATCACAAGGAAATAGTGACAGCAAATTTAACAAGATGTTTATGTAGTTAATCCTTTGATTGATGTTTTGTTTATAAAGTGTTACAATGGTAATTATCATGTTGTGCCTTCAGTGGGGCCTCTTAAATGAAATAAAAACAAGTTGGTGCATGGCTAAAGCGGAGGCTGCACAGTTTTGCCCGGTGCCACCCTGTGCATCATGCCATGTTCCCGTTGCACCAAATCAGGGTCAGGGAGGTCTGAAGCAAGAGGTGCTGAAAGAAACAGAAAAGGGAGAAGATACAGCCTCAGCTGCAGAGGACAGACTTTGGCCTATTCAGGATGCGGATTCGTCTGCCCAGATGACCTAGAAAGCTGCTGGCATCCTGACCTCTACCAGGAGCTGTCAGCAGGGCCAGGGAAGTGATTCCTCCCCTGTTGTCAGCACTGGTGAGGTCTCATGTCCTGTGTCCAGTTCAAGGTGCCTCCATTCAGGAAGGATATTAAGGTGCTGGAGCATCTCCCAGGAAGGGCAACAAATCTGGTGAGGATTCTGGAGCACAAGTGTTATCAGGAGTGGCTGAGGAAGCTGGGGGTGTTTAGCCTGGAGAAGAGGAGGCTCAAAGGTGACCCTATCACTCTCTACAGCTCCCTAAAAGGAGGTGTAGCCATTGGTCATTGGTCTCTTCTCCCAGGCAACCAGAGGACACAGTCTTCAGTCATGCCAGGAGATGTTTAGGTTAGATATAAGAAAGAAATTCTTAACAGAAAGGGTGATTAGACTTTGGAATGGGCTACCCAGGGAGACAGTGGAGTCACCATCCCTTGAGGTGTTTAAGGAATGACTGGTGTGGTACTTAGTGCCATGGTCTAATTGACAAGGTGGTGTTTGTTGGACTTGATAATCTCAAAGGTTTTTTCCAATCTGACTGATTCTGTGACTCGCAGATTAAAGCTCTGTGTTGGGCAGACTTTTTAAAAGTAAACAGTGAAGGATATATAACAAAAAGGGCCAATTCTCTCAAGGTAAAGGCCAAGTCCTGGTGATTTGTGCCCAGAAATAGCTCTGCTTAGAAAATGCAATAAAGGTGTTTTTTTAATGCATGTGTGAAGATCAGTGTTGTAAACCAACTTCTGTTCTCGCTATCCTAACACAAATAGATAAGCCAAATTGAAGTTTGTGATATAACAGTAGAAATTGGTTCCGTGACTTAAGAAAAGTGATTTGTTACTCAGGACCAAAGGCTGAAAGAGAAACTGGCAGGAGGAATAATAAAACTGTATTTGTATCAACAGCTTTTGCAGAAGCAACTTAATATTTCTCCTGTGTATTACACCAAATCCGAATTTGCCAACATTCAGCTCTACAAGTCTGAGATTGATGAAGTGACTTTTGGATTTAATTTTTTAATTTAATAATAACAAAACAACTATGGCAAATCTTGCCATTTGAGCACAGGAACTTTTCCCTCCTTGACTTGTAAAGCTACACTGTGGCTGTGATGCTGAATGAGGTGCCTCATTTGATTCCTCAGCATTAGCTGCTGATTCTGGCAGAACTGTAACACTGAACTTAATGGTGTAGCTGGACAGATACTGCAATTCTAAACATACCTGAAAGCTCACAAACCTATTCTCTGCCTGACAGAATCTGCTATAGGCTGCTTTGATTCCTCTGAAGCAAATTGGATTACTTCTTTTTTCCAGTTGAATGGTTCTAATGATTCCTTGAATGGCAGTATGCCATTCTGACTCACAGAACTGGCAAGAGAAAATGGATGGTCTAACTAGATTTTTTTTTTTTTTTCTATCTCTGAATTTTTGGTTTCTCACTGTTCTACTCCTTGGTTTTCATCTGTAAATAAGTTTGGATAGAAGCATAGCTGTTGCTAAAGTGTTTAAATGTCTAAGTCATGTGCCTTGTTATCAGAGTGTAGCTCTGACAAAGAAACATTAGTTCCTATTCTTTGTGTCATTTGGAAAAAAGGTAGGGAGAATACTTGGAACTATTGGGGAAAGCTTAACAAGAATAAGGAAACTCAAGAATTTCTTTAATACTGTTTATCTGTTGTAATATACAGCTATATTTCATGAGTTTAACTGTAGCAAATCTTACTTTACAATCTAACACCTCTTTAAGCTCCTGAAAGAATGAAAAAATGTCTTTTTTTTTTTTTTCTGTAGGCCAGCCTTCTCCTGAGCTGAGCAATAGGATGGAGAGTTCAAAATTGCAGCTGCCAGAATAAATGATCAGTAATGGAACAGTTAACTTCAGCAACGAGGACTGTTCCCTATATTAGGAAATATTTTTGATTGAAATTAATTTTTGTCAAAGTGTGTGCATGTGTACACACATGTGCAGGCACTCCCAGAAACTGAGTGTGTGATCTGACCTGTCTATAGTTCTAATGACAAATTTTCTGTAGTATTTCTAAATAAAATTATGGTTTAAAAAAAAAAAAAAAAAAAAAGGAAAAAAAACCCCAAAAAAAAAACAAAAAAAAACCAAAAAAACAAAAAAAAAAAAAAAACCCCCAAAAAACAAAAACCAAACAAACAAACAAAAAAAAACCCACAAAAAAACCCACAAACAAACAACCCACTCTATTTAAAATAAAGTGTTTAGGAGAAATACAAAACCTCTTTCAATCATACATTAAATGGTCCCTTAACCTGTCCTATGTAGTTCACCTGACAAAAACGTCCTTTACCCTACTGTAAAATATCTCTTTCTGTCTGATTCTCTGCCCTGAAGTTTTGAGCAGAAGCTTTGGGGAAAAGGATCCATTCCTGAAAGTTCCTAGAGCAGATTGCTGTTTTTACATTCTGGCTATCACTTACTCACTATATGTTTGGGGGAAAAAAAAAAACAAAAAAAACCCAAAAACACCAAAAACCCAACTCATTTCAAAGCTTTCCTTTGTTAATGGTTTCTAGACCGAGAAAACTTTGTTTCCTTTTCAGGAAACATGTACATTTGTGTTATGGTTTCTGTGAGAAATGTGGGAAAGAAGCTACTTGTGGGAGTACTTGTTGCAAAGGGAAGGGGGGACACCAGGTGGTCAAAGAAGCCCAGGCTCCTGAGTCCCTCGCCAGCTTCCTTTGTGGTTCTCATCGTCTCCTCATTGGTATGTCCTGCTCTCAGGCAAAGGGGTTTTGTCTGAAACGTTTCATTTTAGTGAAGTGGTGGGGTTTTTTTAATAACACTTGTTTTGATGAGGAATGTAAGTGCCTCCTGATGACTTCTGTAGCAGATGGGAGAGGGATTACAGAACTCATGTGGCATTAGACCAGGAAAGCTGAGAAATTATCTCAGTCTGAAAGAGAAGGAATTTTAGACCAGGGAATGTTTGGTGAAGGGAAGAACAGGGTTTTTATTAATTTTTTTTTTATTATTTCTTCTGGAGAAAAACCCAGTGAATGTAAGTATTAAATCTTTTTCTGAGTTATTGCTTTCAAATAGTGTTTGCTTCTTTTATTCTGGAGCAGAATTGAAATTTTTGAAGACAAAAAGTCAGAGAAGATCCCATTTGAATGAAAGATTAGACAACTTATATTTATTAACCTTTGCTTTTAGCACCTGCATTTGAAAACCAGTCTCAGATTCACATGTGAGATTGTTATCCAGAAGGTATTAGTGATGGCTTCTTTTTCTATCAGAGATGAAATTCAAGTTGGATGAATGTACTACTACACATCTAATTCAGTTACTGGAATTGCTTCTGTTTTTTGAGGTAAGAATCAAAAATGATTTTGGTATTTGTCTGAGTCTTGGGGATATTCAAGTCAAGACTCAAGCTAAATTTTTAAACAAGTTTGTAGTTTAAATTTAATTTTTGTTTTCTGGTTCAGTGATGGGTGATGTCATCTGAGGAGCAATTGAAACCATAGGATTATTTGGCCTGAAATGGCTGGAGAAATTATGGGGGGTTCAGTGTCTCCTGAGCTCTTCTGAAACACATTGCCACCTCATGCCCATCATTTCAGTGGAACCTGGTTTTTAATTCTCCTGGTTTAGGAGGTGGCTGGTGGGAATGGGTCACACTGAAGGTTCCTGCAGAGCTGGTGTCTGATCACTGAAAGAGTGAGGGCAGGGCTGAGCTCAGAAAGGTCACACCACATGTGCTTCCCTGGCCGTGCTCTGCAAAGTGCCATGGTTGGAACAGGGCAGAGCATCACCTGGAGCACACGCAGAGCCCCTGTCACCGTGTCAGCAGGGACCATCAGAGCCATGTTGGGGGCTGGGCTAGAGCCCCTGGAGCCAGCACTTAACAGGGCACAGCACTTTCTGCTAAGTGTTCAGGGCAGTAGCACAGCTACATTGCCTAACATGTACTCCTTCTGGATTGGAACAGTTGTCCCTCTGGCTCTTCAAGGACGTGTGGGTCATAGCTGCTTTACATCCAAGTATATTTTTCCATCCTTTGTCATATAGGAACTGAAGACCTATAAAGGCTTCCTTGTTTTGATGTCTGTTTTAAAAAAAATTGTCTAAAATAGGAAGCCAATACCAAATTTGGGGTTCTTTTTTTAACCTCATTACTTGTCTAAGCATTGATAGGACTGATTCATTCAGTTCCAGGATGAAACCCTCCAGGCTGGCTTTTTACACAAAAGGATTTTGTTTTAAGCATCTAAAGTGTGAAAATGTTTCTATTTATAGAAATAAGTCACCTTTGAGCAGAAATGGGAAAACTTCAATATAGAAGATAACAAAACAACAACAAAATCTGTGTGGCTGTCACTGCCATGACTTTGACAGTAAAAATTGTGACTTTTAGGGTTTTTCCATAAGCTGTTGGAGAAAACTCTGTGATTGAATGAGGCCAGAGAAAAAACTTGTGAGTTACTAAAAAATCAGAATGTCTTTCCTGTGGAAAACACTGGTATCATGAAATGTGTTTTTAAACTGAATGTTGAAAGTAAAAGAGATTGTATTTTGAGTAAGTTTACAATATTGGTGGTGTAGCAAAATGTTAACCTGAGATCCCAGTTCTAGGACAGGTCAATTTCCATTCCAGTTCAAACAGCCTTTCCAGAGGGCACACAGCAGTGCTGGGAGTGGTAAATAAGAGCCCAGATCTCTGTGCCCAAGGTGAGTGTCTCCCCAGAGCATTATGAAGTGGAATTCCTCCCTCAGGTCATTTGACAGTTGCATTTCTTCCCCTGCCATTTTATGTCTCCAGCAGAGATAACATTCCTTGGCTGTGCCTTGATGCCAAGGTCCCTCTCCATGGGAGGCAGGAGCTTCCAAGGGCCATGAAGATTATAAGCCATGGTTAAAAAGCTTTTGCTGTACCTGAAAAAATGAATGTCTTCAAATGAGGAATGAGATTGGGTATGGATCTCGTCTGGGTTGTTCTTTCCATAGGAAGGACTCTGGATAAGGGTAAGCCTGGGATGAAAAGTTGTGTCTGACTCCTGGTAACTCATTGCTGCTGGTGGAAAAAGGGAATAGGAGGGATATCAGCCTCCATGAGGGAAGGGGCTTGGAGAAGGGGATAGGAATTATGTTGAAGCCCCTGTTCGTGCAGGGACCACCACCTCAGGTACCTTCAGCTTCTCACTCTCGGGATGAAAGCAAGCAAAACTTCTCTAGGCTTGGCAGAGGTGAACGAGAAAGAAAAGACAAATTCCCAATTAATCACTGCCATTGGCATATGCTCTGTTAGTGGGGGAGGAGAAGTAAAGAGTTAAGCTTGTACAGATTTACGTTTTTGCTAGTGAATGACCTGTGCATAAGATGTGTCCTAGATAAGCATTGTTGGGTCATCTTTGTCCCTTGAAAACTGTAACAGAGAGACTTGCATTCTAATTCTGTGATTAAGTCTAACCCATACCTTGACTGCATTCATACTAAAGCTTAGATTATACTGTAGAAGTTCAGTATTTGAAAAACTGTTGCTTGTCCATGATAACCCTACCTGAGAAGTACTTGACTAAGGAACTTCTTGAGTTTTTCCAAGCCCTAAAGTTTCTACATTTGTTTCATTCACACTCAGCTGGCCTGATCCATGCTAACACTTTGTTTTCCTTTGCAATTAAAATATTTCAGCTGTCATGTGAAATATGTGAGACTTTTTAGACTTGTCAGAAGCTCAGCAGGATGGCACTGAGTGTTTGCACAGCAGCTTATAACAGTCCCAAGAATAATTCCTGGATCAACTTTCTGGATATTTTTAAACCAGTGAAAAATATGAACTGTTGAATAAATCCATTTTGCTCCTTGGCATACGATTATTTTTCCACTTTTTATTTCACTGTTGGTTATTTGAGAGCTCAAAACACATTTCCAAAGATGCCTGTCTTCTATCCCAAAATGAACATGTGACTGTGGATTACCCATCAGACTTTGAGAGTCTTTTGGTCCAACAGCACATCTGGGTAGGGATTTCTATGTTACTTCTTTTGTTTTTAAAGCTCGAATGTACCAGTTCACTGACCATGTGTTTAGCTTTCAATGATTTTTTTTTCTTTTGTCCAGTTTTTGTTGGTTTTTTTAATGGTTTTTAATAATCACGTTGTACTCACCTTGTTTTTTGCTCTTCAGTGGTCATAGCATCAGTAGCCATAAATGTATCATCAGTAGTCATCAGTGGACAGAAAGAGGACCGAGATCCCTCATGTGACTGTGAGACAAGCAGACTGTGAAGCTCACTCCCATCCCACTGAATCTGAAGCCTGGAGGAGCTTTTCAGTGCAATTCTGCTCCCTTTGCCATTATAGATAGTAGTCTGTAACTGAATTTAGCCTGCTTTGCTAATCTCAATGTTCAGAGACTTCCAAGGAGCCGGTCAGGATCTTGTCAGACCCATGTGCCTTAGGAAGCAGCAAATATGAACAGTCTTTTGTGTGTGAAACACCTTTGACACTTTCTGTGTTTCCAGCAATACAGCTACAATGAAAGAAAGATCACCTTGGTGAAGGCTTAGATCAAAGTCAACTGTTTAAATCAATTAAAAGGTGGTTGGTTTAGATTACATATAAGAAAGAAGTCTTTTGCAATGAGGGTTGGTAAAGCACTGGAAAAAGTTACCCAGAGAGGTGATTAATCACCTGGAAACATTCAAGGGGCTCTCATCTAGTTGAAGATGTCCCTGCTAACTGCACCTCTAAAGGTCCCTTCAAACCTGAACTGTTCTATGATTCTACATTTCTTAGTGTGCAGCGTCTCTTGATTGACCACTGGGTCTGTTTTCGTGCCTGGATGTTCACAGTCCATCTCTGCTCTCGCTCTGTCTGGTGAATATAACACTCAAGTGTTGCAAGGAGGGGGACTGTGGCATGTGAAGGCACCTCATGCTGAGGAAGGTGTCCAGAGGAGCTGGGTCATGGGAAAACCTGCCCTGGGCATGGCAGCTCTGCAAGATCTGTGGTAAAATTGTCATCACCAGTGGTAACTGGAGAAATACTAGCAGACTTCTTCTAACTGATCAATCCAGGATTCAGCACTAACTCCAGCTGTTGACAATTATCCTCTCCCTGTGGCTTTCCTGAGGTGTGGTGTTTGTCACAATAGATCCAACCTGTTAAACAGGTACTGCTTTTTGCTCCACCAGGGATGCCTTTAGTAACAGATAAAATGATTCCAGTGTACGGAGGACAAGGTCCTTCAATTTGTTAAATTTGCCAACTGCATTGGGAGCCTGAGCGATGAAAGGTGTCATAGAAATGTAAAGTGCTATTACTCATCCAAAATCACTCTACTCTCTTTTCCTAAAAAAAAAAAAAAAAAAAACCCAACAGTCATGTATAGTTCTTTCCTGCACTTTCTTCAGTGTTTGGTTAGTTCCTTTAAATCTGCACACAGAACTGCTACCACTTTGTGCCTGGATATTGACTGTGTCTCAGGCATTTTATCTGACCTTTTGTTAGTCAGTTATTTTCCTTACCTGTTTATCCAGTTACTTGAGCAATCTGTTTTCTGTGACTAATTTTAAGACACTGATTTTCAGTGCTTTTATTTAAACACACAGTTAGTTTAAGCATGCAAGTGAAGTTCATAAAGCTCAGTGAGTCCAAACACTTTGGTTGTACTCACTTGATAGGTTTACTGTATTTTCCCATGTCCTAGCATTAATTACAAACAGTTGAAATAGAAAGACCTAATGAAGAACTAATCTTGATGTGAGAGCAGGAAAGAGAGATGTGTGGGACAAGAATTCAGTAATCCTCTGGCTGGAGGTTTAGTTGTACCTAAAATGCTGTCATTCAAGCAACCAACTTAAATTGCCACTCAAGAGCCTGTCAGTCTAAAGTCTGAAGCATGAAGTTTGCTTTAGTTGGCATTTAACTTTTCCCTTGGTGTCCAATTCTTAACTTTAATCAGAATATCTCACAGAAGATAGGGTTCAGTTTGATCCAGCTATGTGAGGTCTTGTATGTAATGGCTTGTCCTCAGAAGTTTCAGCTCCAGCTTGCAGTGGGAGTGAACAACATGAGCAACTTCCTCAGAAAGAACATCTGAGCAGTTATTCAGGTCTCAGGTTTCAGAGGGAGGCATTTCCAGTATTTTACTTATTTCTGTAAGGAAAGGAAAAAAGGGAACTCTCCTCTGCATGTTAGAGGAAATGATATAGATATATAGGGATAGATAATATAGATAGTAGGGTTAGATAGATAACAGGGTTAGATAATTTCTCATGTGATCTCTGTTGCCTTACAGAAAATTTAAACCACACTGGAGATAAGAAACAATATTAGCCAACAAATTATAAATCATCTGGTTCTAAAACTATCACTAATGTATATAGTAGCTCCAATATTGTATGTAGATTTTCCTCTGAAAGGCAATATTTGTGGAAAAAGTTGTAAGGTAACCAAAAAATGTAACTGCAACAATATTGAACATATGTGTCATTTGGTAGATCTGCACTTGGAGCTTACAAAGTAATGAAAAGAACTGAAGTTCACTGCCAAACAGATCTATAGCCAGCGGATCACAGGGATCAGGTCAACAGGTGCACCTAAAAGGTAAAGCATCAAGATGCCAATGTACAACTCACTGAAAGACAGCAGCTAACAACTGGGCACCTTCAGAGCAGGGAAGCAGAACTTGTCAGGTCAAATGATTGAATGGAAGTAAGGTGGTTCAGCAGGGAACGAAACCCAAGGATGAAGTAATAATGACCAACAAACAGTACTGGTGTCTAAATTATGCATGATAATGACAACATAATTTGACTTTTATAATACAAAGCATAACTCTACATTGTGTTTTTACCAAATAGGTTTGGGGTTTTTTCTGTTCTGGCTGACTGTCCATTATATTCTAACATATTCTTCATGTCTTTGGGTATTAAATGCCCAAGTAAACTTCGTTTTGAAATCTAGGCCTCTAGTCTAGGGATTTCAGCAGTATTCTCCAGCATTTGCAGATTATCCATGTGGTATATGTTCACCATTCTTGTAAGTTTTATATCTGTAGTTCAGTTTCTACTATCTTTAAAATCATCAGTTAAAAGGGTTAATTTGTGGGCATAAATAGCTTTAAGATTCTCCTGAGCATCTGTGACCACTGTCATGCCTTAAATGGAAGGGACATGTAAGTTTCTTGAGCTTTGTTTAAATTGTACTTTCTACCTCCTTTCTCTACTACTTTGAACCTTTTCTTCTCCAAAAAAAACTCTTTCTCACATATCCTTTCCATTCCATTTTTAAAAGGGGAACACTGAAAACAAGTATGTGGAAAATATTAATACATTTTAAATAAAAGTGATATAGGGGTAGAAATTTAACTACTTTTCTGATGTCTTTCTGGCCACAGTGCAAGAGAGAAGCTCTCAAAGAGCAGGCCTGAAATCAGATGCCTGCTCTTTCCATCATGTCCCAGTGCCTCTGAAATACTCAGCTTTACAACCATGATGCCAACAAGTTTCTGTGAGGTAAGAAATTCCTATGACCCATTCACTGCTGCTCACTAAACTTTCTGTGGCCATTCAAGCACCTCTGTGACAGCAAATGCTTGAATGCTAAGGCATAATTCTGGGAAAGAAGTTTTGGTAACTGCAGGCTGAGTTGCTGGGAAGTGGTTCCGTTTTACACCTTGTCTCTTGACAGCCCTGCAAGAAACCCAGCTATGGCTTGGGCATGCTGCTGCTCACTTGTGCAACAGAGCAGAGCCACCTAACCTGGCCAAGGGGGCTCATGGGCCGTGGGGATGGAGCATAGGGAAAGCTTTGCAAAGGGAAATCTGGAGCCAGGTTTGGCCAGCCAGTAGAGGCTGGGGGAATGAGGGGTGGTGGGGGGTGCCCAGCTGCTGTTTCCAGCCCCCTAAAGAGGGGTTCCAGGGAAGGCAGAGCCAGGCTCCTTCCAGCATAACATTAAGAGGCCAGGGGCACAAGTTGCCAGAAGAGAAATCCCAGGCAGTGCCCTCCATCCCAGGCTGTCCGCTCGGGACTGCAGGGCAGCAGGCACAGCCTCAGGTACTGACTCTCAAAGGGTGCCCGGCCTCGGTGCTGGCACCGCAGGGGCTCCTGTGCTGCCAGGATGGGCTGGGCAGATACAGCCAGCTGGGCTGCCCTGGAAACCAGCTCCTCTGGGTGTCCATCCTTTTTGGAAATATATGTATATATATATATACACACATATATACACACATATATATATACACATACACACATATATATATATATATGTGTGTGTGTGTTTGTATTTTGTACTATTTTTTGAATTGTGAGGTATTTGGGTGTGGATAGGGTTTGTTTATTTGTTTGTTTCAAGTCATCTTTTTGCACTTGGAACAGCGGTGGTGTGGCCAGTGAGGGTGACTGGCAGGTCGTGTGGCTGGCTGGGGGCTATGCTGTGCTTCGATCGCTGCCGGAGCTGGCAGCCTGGCAGCCCAGGAGGGGCTTGCGAGCGGCTTTTTAAAGCCTGGGATTTCCAACGCTCCTCAGGATGAGTCGCAGCTCGGCAGCCCTGCACAGAGCAGATGTGCGGAGGGGAGGGAAATGCTTTCGGCTGAACCCAAAAAGTACGTGCCAGGAGGAAGGCTTCAGGAAGTGGGAGCTGGGCAGGGAGGAGGGAAGGGAGCATTTCTCTTCTGCTTCGTTTCCTAAGGAATTATTTAAATGGATTGCTTCTCCTCTAGAAGGAAAATCTCACTGAAGCTGTTTTAATGTGAATTTTGATATTTATTTTCTGTGTGTGTGTGTGTATCTGTTTTCTTCGTGCAATTTTGTTTCGATTTTTAGGACTAATTTGGAGTTTTGGCTGATGGGAGAAGTGGTTGTGCAAGGGGTTGATGTAGAGGGGGTTGCTTATGATGATATTTGTTGCATCATCAAGTGATGACTGATTAAACCTTATTGGATCTGATCCATAATAGCAGGAACGTTTTTATGAGAAAGGAAATATAAATGAAGTCCTAAAGCAGATTTCACAGCTGTTATCCTTTTGTGGAGCTGATTAATAGAATGTAAAGTGACCTAAATTAAGTGCTGTAGAAAGGCTTGTCAATAGTTTATACATTAAGCTAGGATTATTTGAACACATTCATAATGAAAAGAGGATTTTCTTGTGCATTACAAATTAGTTATGATGATTTGAGGCAAAAGACTGAGATAAGTCAGCAAGCTAAATAGAAAGAATTTGTGTGCCTCTGTCCTCATAGAGCTCCATCCCTGTATATCCTGACCTTATACCATTACAATATTTTGTAGAAATTTTAGTACAGAAGATTTACTGCTAAGTCTTTGCGAATTTGTGTGGACTTAATTTTACTAGGCAGCCCAGACCTGGCATTCAAAGAAGTCTACCAAGAATATTTGTTTCTAGTCTGAAGAGTGGAAGAGAAAAGGTTATGGGAGTGTGGTGGGAGAAACTCCAGCCTAGGAGGGAAGCTGTGGATTTTGTTTCATTGCAACAGGTCTTGGAATAAGTGAGACAATAAGTTGGGGCAAGCTTTTTACAGAGTCATTTAAAATAATAAATAAGTGCCAAGTGAAAAGGAATTTGAGCATGTAACTCATAACTATAAATTATTTACCAATATTGTGTTTTGGCACTGCTAAAGGTCTTAATTTTCAGTTTGTCTTTTTTAATCCCATCTTTACCACAGTGACCCTTTTTGCTCTTAAATTTTCTCTAAAGTTTCTGAGGAAACAGAAGTTTTGTTCCCTGTCACTATATACTCACCAAATTTTCAACTAATTCACATCCTGTATTGCTTTCTCTTGCCACATATTTAGCTGTGCAAAATCATGTGTATTTGCAACTAAGTAAATTGATCAAGGGATCTAAAGTTGAAATTTGGTTGACTTTGTTTGGCTGCCTTGAGAGGTTGCAAATTATCCCCGCCTAGGATATCCTGCATTTCCACTGCCCTGAGGTGCCAGCCTAGAGATGATGGTGGCTGCTGAAGATGATCTGCTTAGTCCAGCAGGCCCTGGCTAAGCAATTGGGAAGCAGAATTCAGTGCACAAACAGGACAGCAGAGACGTGTGTCTGCATATGGTTGCAGGTGGTTAAGTGAGGCTGGTCACACTCCTAAACCCCCAGGGCATGACAAAGCAGTGTTGCTGCATGAGATGATTCAGCCTTTGGTATCAATGTACCCAAGGGATTTTCACAGTTATGCAAACTTAATAGAAGCACAGAGTTGCAAGACATTGCGGCTGCAATACGAGTTAAACTCTCTCAGTCCTGAAAAGCAGGAAATCTTAGTGTATAGGTGCAAGGGAATTTAAGTAGCTCCTCATAATGCAGCTGAGAGGAAGCACCAGGCTGACTTGCATAAATTGATTGCAGGCTGCTAGACACTCTTTTAAATTCAGCCACCCTAGGAAAGGTTTAAATAAAAAGATATTGCTCAGACTTCACATGCAGCTTTGGTAGGCGCTGGGACATGAAATTGTGCTTGGCAGGTAAATACGCCAGCAGTCAGAAATGCCTGGTACAGATGGTAGTCAGTACCTGAACATGTGATGGGGCACATGCAGAACGCAGGGCATGCATGGTTCAAGGATGCAGCCTGGGGCTGCTGTGCAGCTGGATCACCCTGTGTGCCTGGGTCAGCCTGTTACAGTGACAGCTGAGCTGGGAGTTACCGGCTGATCCTGCTGACAACAGCCCGGGGAATGGTATCAGCAGCTTTGTTTGACAGCTTTTGCAAAGTTCAAAGGTATCCTAAGCAGAAAGCCCAAGAAATAGGGAGATGGACTGTTCTGATTTTTGCTAATCCTTCGGGACTCACTGCCATCAGCACAGCTGTGCTGCCAGTGAAATGACTGAGTGGGTGAAAGCAAGCCCTCGCTGGCTGTATGATATAAAGGGCAACATTTATACAGCTCCACTTAATCTAAACCTCCTAAAGCAACAGGAAAGAGCTCACTTTGTGCTTTGCAAAGTTAGCAATGCCTAAAAAAGGACTCGATCTCAAGTGAGAATGAAAATTATTCGGATTTGAATTTAAAAAAGGACAAAGTACTTTCATTGAACTTTCTGCAACCGATAATGTAGTGCTCAATAAATTACTTGCCTTTTGTTGAGAAAGAAAAATATGCATAGTTTCTTATATACCTGATATCTTTTGCTACAATTTCTGTACTGACACTTGTGCAAGTACTCAAATGATGTAATTGAGTCAGCATGGCTTAGAAACGTGCAGTGTTGTCATCGTGCAGTCGCTGTCATAAGAGGTCCCTCCCTCCATGGTGCTGCAAAGACCATTGCACCCCAGTTGAGTGACAGCAAATGAAGGTGACTTCAGGAGCACCAGGGAGACTCTTAGTGGATCGATGCTGGCACTTTGGAAAACTCCAGTGGCACTGCTGTAGGTAAGTGCCAGTCAGTTACTTCTCAAGGTGGGGGAAGGCAGCGTGCTCGAATGCTGGAGGGCTGCAAGATCTGCAGTGTTTGCCATCCCTCCTCCACAGCACAGGAGGCAGCACTCTGATGGTGTCCTGGGTAATGCTTCAAAAAAACTTAAATAACCCATTTGTAACAGAATTATTTTGTTTTTAGAATCAGTAGTTGTCAAATTGCTTTGCACTCTGTCATTAGCTCAGTGTTTGGTACAACAAAACTAGTAGCAACAAACTTTTGCTGAAGTTCAATGCAATTTTGCAATGAATAGTAACTATTTGTGCTCAGTGGGCTTTTACTCCTGGAGAAAACTCGAATATCTCTCTTACCCCTACAGCTGTTGTGGGCAAATTGTTCTTTTAGCTGTTTTTCCATTGAGAGATGCTCTTTGATGCAATGCTTTTCCAGAGCTGGGTGGGCAGAAGTAGGTCCAGTGTGAACTCAGATCTAGTGTGGACATGTGTTGAGGCAGACACAGTGCTTTGTTAGACTTCTGTTTGTTTTCTGAGATTCTCTGATGCATATTACTTTGCTGGCTTTTTAATATGCTTTTTAACATAAATGTTCTTTTCAATAAATGGCACCTTTCTTCTTAAATCAGAAAACGGAGCTGCCTTGTGCTGAGATTTTCTGTTCTGGTACTTCATCCTGATTCCAAGCTGATGTTGCAGAGGCAATGTAGGAGATGTTTCAAATCTACCCCATATCCACAGATTATCATGAGGGTGAGAGGAAGATGATGTTTCCTAATGTAGATGGGCTAAAATTTTTGTTAGTTTCTGTAGAGTCTTGAAAAGTGGCCTGTGAATTAAAACAAGAGACTGCATTAAAATAACTGCATCATCCCTATTTTCAGTGGGTTACACAGTGCAGTGGAGAGGGAAAGGATGAAGTTTCTTTCACCACTGTATCAAAATTGTCTTGATGCTTCTCCAAACTAAAGTAAAGGCAGTTGCTTTTGTGTAAGATATTGTTTCTTCTCCTAGGATAAGCACTGCCATGAGATAATTTTCTAAGAGATACAGACATTACTTATACTATACATACCTATTTCCACGAAATGTGTCAATTTATGCTTTGT